TAGCATTTTGAAGAAATACTGTACTCTGTCAAATCTACTCCGAATTACATAAAATAAAATCCAGAAAAAAGGTAAAATTCCGCGCAATTGGATTGCGTAAAACGGTGCACTATATATTACATGATTGGCATGTCATTGCCCAAGTTATACCTGCAATTCTGAAAGAAAATACTGCAACTCTGTCATATCTACTCCAAATTACATCAAATGAAATGGAAAAAATAATATACAACTGCAAGCAATATAATTACATACATTGTAGTAGTATGCATTACATAATTGGTCCTCAAAAAGAGAAAAGCATCTATAAATGTATTCACAAGAAATGCTGCAACTTACTGGATACCACTTATACAAAATTACAAATGACTGCTGCCATATGCACTAGTCCATTCAACTATATATAATGTGACAACCATACAATGGACAAAAACAAGGCAATAGAATTGATGAACATAGAAGAACTGCTGTTAACTGGGAATCCACCCCATCACCCAACAGTTCACATGGTCAGTAAAACCTTGTACTGTCAACTACAAAAATGATGTGAAAACTACAAATAGCACAGCTTTGCCCCTCCCCTAAACCCATTCATTAATCCTGCTCTCTCAAAAATGAGAACAGAAGCACAACTCACCCCCTTGAAATAGTTGATATCAGCTTGAAATCCATCCTTCCGCTATCCACAAAGTGCGTGTGCACACTTGCCCCATCATCCCTTGAGTCCCACGTAATCTTTACAGGAACTTGGCAGATCGCCACATGGGATAATGACAACAAGTATGCCAATGCCCCTGCTCTACCTGCACTGTTCCTCACGCCACTGGATGTCAGCTATGATGAGCAGGTGATGGACATAGGTCCTTGGTACAATGTGGGTCGAGAGTATCAAAAATCTACCAGAGGATGCGTGAGCATCAATGGTAGTCAACGGTACTCAAGAATGTGTAGGGGTAACTGGGAACTTACTTGCGAAAAGTTCAGACCCTTGTCATTCGCTGTCATTGTGCAGTGTCATCCGCTGTCGTTGTGCATTGTCGTTCTTTGTTGTTGTGCATTGTCATTGTCATCATGCACCATCTGCTGGGGCTGATCCACATCAACTGCCAAAGACCTTCAACTGCAAGGGGGGAGATGACAAGAGGAACTCACCACCTCAGAACACCAAAGGTAATGAGAGACAACAGTGTCTGGTTCAAACAAATGTAAACCAATCCACTGTGTGTGTGGTGGATTTGTTTGTTCAAGTTGAAAGACATCTGGATGGGCAACAATGCCAAATTATGATGTACGCCAAGGATCATCTGAACCCCAGTGCAGGTTCAGACGATCCTTGGCACACATCATAATTTGGCGTTATTTGCTCCATGCCTACTACCTATTTTACTAACTTTATATGTTTTTACAGGAACACGTAGGACTTAATGACACAAACGTGTTAATGTCCGAATTGCTTCCATTTGTTTCTTGTGTCGTAAGTACATATCTTACTTCTGTGTTGATTGTACATATATTTCATCCATCTCTTGTGTTTTATCTTACTAACTTTATATGTCCTTACAAAATAGAATTTCATGACATGAATGAATGGCACAACACCAATGTACCTTTGCATCCACTGCTGTTGATGCTTATGCCCACTGCCGTCTCTACTCTTTGTCACAACCATCCTCTTGTAAGTATACCTTCTCCGTCTTCTTATTTTACTAAGCTCGAATAGAACTTCACACTGCATTATTTGCTCAGACATATATCTATGTTACTAATCTTATACATCTTTACAGGAATACGTAGGACTTAACAATGCAAAGATGTTATTGTCCAAATTCCTTTCTGACATTGTATGTACATCCCTCCTTTTCTTGTGTCTTTTCCGAATCCCCTTCCCCATCAATGTCCTCCAGCCAAGTCAAGGTGAGTGTGATCCATCAAAATAATTAACAATAGTGACTTACCTCTGACCACCAAGATCCGCCGCCGTTGTCACACAACTGACTGTGATTTATCTACACCAAGCCAACAGTGGTATGATGATGGACATGTCATATGCTTCAGAGGTCTATGACATGAGTAAGTCATTGAAAATGCATTGAGAGGTTTCATGAACACTTACCATGATTTGTACCATCAGCTGAATATCAACAACAGTAGGATGTGATGTATGCTCAGGAGGCATAGGACATAGGCAGGTAAGTCATTAGTGTTGGATTGAGACATTTTGTGAGCACTTACTGTGATTTTGTATAAGTGGTATCCAGTAAGTTGCAGCATTTCTTGTGAATACATTTATAGATGCTTTTTTCTTTTTGAGGACCAATTATGTAATGCATACTACTACAATGTATGTAATTATATTGCTTGCAGTTGTATATTATTTATCCATTTTATTTGATGTAATTTGGAGTAGATATGACAGAGTTGCAGTATTTTCAGGTATAACTTGGGCAATGACATGTCAATTATGTAATATATAGTGCAGCATTTTAAGTAATACAATTGCACGGAATTTTACCTTTTTTCTGGATTATATTTTATGTAATTCAGAGTAGATTTGACAGAGTTACAGTATTTTCTTTCAAAATTGCTAATATGAGCTGCACACAAAAGCTGAAGGGTTATTCAGACGATCCTTGGCGCACGTCATTGCTTAGTCATCATTTTTAGCGAAAATGAAGATTTCTATGTAGCTCTGCCAAATCTGGTCCAAATGACATGGGTTTTTTTGCAGTATGCACTCGTTCATTGTAGGATCGTTCTGAAATGAGGATAAATGTAGGTAAATACAAATAAATAGTCTGAAATGACATGTGTACTCTCAGATTGGTTTCTGTATACTGAACTTGAATCCAGATGATATCACATGGTCAAAAACAAATGCAAACAGACCTACTGCGCAGGAGGTAAAGTTGTTTGCACATGTTGAATGATTAGTAATCTATCTTGAAGATTTCTACCTAGCTCTGCCACTTCTGGTCCAAATGACATGGTTTTTTTTGCAGTCTGCACTCCTCAATTGTAGGATCATTCTGAAATGAGGCTAAATGTAGGTAAATATAAATAAATAGTCTGAAATGATATGTGTATTCTCAGAAAACATTGGTTTCTGTGTACTGATCTTGAATTCACATGATATCACATAGTTTAAAACAAATGCAAACAGTTTTACTGCGTGTGCAGTAAAATTGTTTGAATGATTAGTAATCCATCTTGGTGCACCAAAAATGAAGATTTACATGTAGCTCTGCCACTTCTGGTCCATTTTTTTTGCAGTATGCACTCCTTAATTGTAGGATCATTCTGAAATGAGGCTAAATGTAGGTAAATACAAATAAATAATCTAAAATGACATATGTACTCTTAGAAAACTTTGGTTTCTGTATACTAAACTTCAATCTACATGATATGACATAGTCAAAAATGAATGCAAACAACTTTACCACCAAGGAGGTAAAGTTATTTGCACATATTGAATAATTAGTAAATAGTCCCTACCTAGCTCTGCCACTTCTGGTCCAAATGACATGGTTGTTCTTGCAGTATGCACTCTTTGATTGTAGGATCATCATTAGATAATGTGTTCAGGGTTTAAAGTAGATATCCAAATATGGTAAGCTAATAAAAATAGTCATAACATGGCAGAGAAATCAGAGAAAATTGAGGATGGTGCTGATTAATAGTGATGATGTCAAGTTTAAATAGACTTCCAAATAAGAAATATTGCTCATTGATGGTGATGATACTGAGGTACTCTGCTTGAAGCCCAGAGTGACACTCAAATAGAAAGATATACTAGTTTGTAAAAAATATAGCTACAAATCCAGAAAAAAAGCGAAAAGAAAGCAGAAATGGGTCACTACCACTCTTGCAAAATAGGACTTGTTCCTGCCATGCTTGCAATGGCCTCTTACACAAGTCATAGTATTGTACATATACATAACTATTACTGTTCCATAATCTTATTTGACCACATTCACAGGAATAAAGCATGCAATAGCTAATAAAACTTTAGAAAACTATGAAAATTAAGAGACATATAGTCAATATGGTTCCCAGAAATCCTGCTTCCAAGGGGTTACAGTTAATATAGATGTTTTGGAATGTCAATGTTAAGTGCTTCTACCTATCTCCTGAGTTTTGGGCACAGATGCTTCTCAAATGGCCCACAAAGCTCACTGAAGCATGACAGAGAGATTTCCAAATCAGGCCTAGAAAAGTCTAGGGGTCTCAGATCCTTGTATAAATAGGACCTCTGTTTATTTCTTTGGGATAGTTACTATATATGAGAAGTGCCTTGTGAAATATTTTCAGCCCCAATTCACCAAGAAAAATGTCAAGGATTGGTCAAGGATGATTGCTCTATGCAAAATGTACTTTTATTGGAGACTTTTCAAGTTATACCCAGTGTAAATTTATTTGCTATCATATTATATTGCAGGGGTTGTTTAAAGGACATCCTGAGTCTCCATGGATCAACTCAAAAGGATGGTAGCATTTTTTCTTCTTGCAGAAAAGAAGGACCAATGTTGTAGATACTTGTTTACTTTCAGAAAAACTCTGGAAATTAACTTCTACAGACATCATGCGATGTTCATTTTAACATTTCTACCTACCTTTTGTATTATATGCACCACAAACATTAATAGGGAGTCATTTTGCCTCACTCCAACAAATATATTGAGTGAAAAATACATAAAGGGGAGAATAAGTTCAAATTTACCTTTTAGGGGAGGATATAAAAATTTCTAGCCCAGAGACTTTATGAAGCTCATAACAATAGCAGGGAGATCCAGTGTTCAAAATATCTCTTCCTCAAGTTGTGAATTGCTTTCAGTAGGTTGCAGTCATTCAGAATTTCCCATTTTGTTACATCCCATTTTTGGAAGTTGTCACACTCAATGCCCTGCCTTATCCTCAGTTTTCATTCGTTCACCCCCAAACTTGGTATGTACAATCTACACCTCCTTAGCTATGTTCCATACACCAGACCTTAGTTCTTAAAATGTTTGGTTCTTGTGTTATAGCACCAACTTTGTCCAAAAAATCATGTGACATTACTTTTGATCAGGGAGTGTAGCAACTGCCAGACTAGGCAGCTTTGGCCTACAGTATCTAGAGGGGCTGTAAGGAGCTTGCTGCTTCCAATGATGAGCTTGGAGATTGAGAAAATGCTAGGAACTGCTTTCAGAGTACACTTCACAAAAGGAAATCTCAGCTAGTTTGATGAAAATGGAAGAAAAACAAGATAAAGATGTCTCTACCCATCAGGGTCGATCCAATGGAATGTTGGTCACATGACCAATTAAAAGTTGTAGCCCTACACTGTAGCTTACTGAATCTGGTCAAATTATATTCTAAAGTACTCCTGTTGTGGAGATATTATGTAAAAGATTGTTCTGAGTGCTGTGTTTTTTTGCATTTTTCTCTATGAATACAAAACCAAAGAAGATAATTTCAAAACATTTAGAGAGCTAAAAGAAAGGGCTACAATTATTGTACCATAGGGAAAATGACCAAAAAAGGAAGGTGTATGCCCTAAAAGGGAAACTGACACTGACAGACTACAAAGGTCAGTATGGACTACAAAGTTATTGAGTACAAGCTAGGGTTAGGGTTGAATACAAGCTAGGGTTAGCTAAGGTTGAATACAAAGTCTACTGATAGAGTAGAAAAGACTACAACAATTAGATTAGACTACCAAGTTAGGGTTAAGGTTCACTAGATTAGTGTTCACTACAAGCTAGGGTTAAGGTTGACTACAAAGTTTACCAAAGTTAGACTTATACCATCAAGTTAGGGTTAGGGTTGACAAGTGAGGGTTAGGGTTGACTCTACAAAGTTAGGGTTAGGGCTGACCACAAGCTAGGGTTAGGGTTGACCACAAGCTAGGGTTAAGACTTACACCACCAAGTTAGGGTTAGGGTTGACTATAGACTACAAAGTTAGGGTTAGAGTTGACTACAAGCTGGTGTTAAGGTTGACTACAAAGTTTACTGATCGACTACATAAGACTACAAAGGTGGGATATAGACTAGACCACAAAGGACTACAAAAGTCAAACTTCAACTACAAAGTCTACTGATAGTCTACAAGAACTACAAAGGTTGAACTTTTACTACAAAGTCAGAGTAGTTAGTAGTCACTGCTTTTTGAGACTACAAACGTCTGTAGTGTCTGCTTTTTCCATTACAAGAGTTTGCACTAGGCATATTTCATTGTGTTGTCTGCTTCTGTAGACTACAAATGTTTGTATTGTTCACTTTTCTGACATGTAATTGACTATATATAGGTTCATAGGAATATGGTTGAAGGATTGACCATCAGAAAAGGCTATTCTATACTTTCATTTCATATTGATTGCTACTGTCTTATCTCAAAACATAGTCATAGGTTCATGGAGATATAATTGAAGAGTTGAAGTGACTTTATATGTTGCCATTCCTGCATCATAAGTTGTTGAGATCATGCACAAGTTGGCTTTCATATCAGAAGAGGCTATTCTATGCTTTCATATTGGCAACTAGTGTTCTATCTCAAGACATAATCAGCTTACATCATAACCTGACTTTGTTGTTGAAAGTAAGAATATATGCCAGGACCAATCAGCCCATCATTCATACAGTACTGTGGCACTGAAACAACTTATATCAAAGTTGACTCTGTTTTCAGACAGGACAGTAGCTAGACAGAACAGTAGCTATTGATATGAAGGTAAGAGTAGCTGCTTCAGCCACAAATATGAAATGAAAGCATAGAATAGCCTCTCTTGATATGAAAGACAACCTGTGCATGATGTCAGCAACTCATCCTGCAGGACCAATCAGCCCATCATCCATGAACTCATATCATTGACTCTGTGTTGAGACAGAATAGTAGCTATTGATATGAAAGTATAGTAGCTTCTTCTAATGTGAAAGACAACTTGTCCATGATGTTGCAGCAATGGCAATATGTGGATTCATGTCAATCCTTCAACTACATTCCTATGAATTTATACATAGTCAAGAACACTATAACCAAATACATGTCAGAAAAGTGGACTACAAGTTTTGTAGTCTCAAAAAGTGAACACTACAAACTTTTGTAGGCTACAGAACCAGTCTAAGTGACTTTTGTAGTCTTTTTGTAGTCTTTTGTAGTCTAGTCTATGTCCTACTTTTGTATTCTTTTGGTAGTCCATCAGTAAACTTTGTAATCAAGTCTAACCTTTGTAGTCAACTCTAACTCTATCTTGTGGTCAACCCTAACCTACCTTTGTAGTGTAAGTCTGGTGTAGTCTTTTGTAGTCTATCAGTAAACTTTGTAGTCTGAGTCCAACTTTGCTAGTCTTTTCCAGTCTATCAGTAAACTTGGTAG